ATGCCGGAAGCCTCCTGTCTCTGGAATGGCAGCTGACGCTCCAGTCCTAATGCACTGAGTGTATTACTCTCTCGACACATTCCCAGGAGCTCTTGTATAAGTACCCTGAAGTGAATCTGCCTGGCATGGCAATTACAAGCTTAGGTCAGGAGACAGACCTGAAGCTGAATGCTGAGTCTGTCTTATGTGTCTGTCTCATGTGCAAATGGAGGCTTCAAAAGAACCTGCCTCACGGTTGTTGGGAAGAAAACATAAATGTTATGATACTCAGGTCTGTGCCAGGCAGAAAGCAAGTACTCAACAAATAGCCACTGTTTTCACTCACGAGTCCCAGCAGCCCCCGTCCACAGCTTGTTGTTTCTGGGGCAGCTGGGAGCACAGCAGGCCAGAGAAGATCCCAGCAGTCCCAGAGGCCCTGGGCTGCACCGCTGGGCTGGGCCATGCCTGCCTGAGCACCCTGGATCTGCTTGGGGGTTTGCTGAGGTTCCGATTTCCTACAGCCCTCGGGTACTAACCGGGGCCCCTGCTGGGTTGCAGCTGCTTGAAAGGGACCCAGCCAAGAGGCTGGGAGTGACTGGCAACATCAAAACCCACCCCTTCTTCAAGACCATCAACTGGACTCTGCTGGAGAAACGTCTAGTGGAGCCGCCCTTCAAGCCCAAAGTGGTATGTGATCCAACTCTAGTGGGAGTCCCTTGACTTGATGTTGCCACTGCTGTGTTTTAGAGTGGGCACTCCTTTGCCCTGCCTCTCTCCAGCATCGTTTACATGCTTTCTTCCTCCCTTCTTCCAGCAAACCTGCTTCCCTGATCTCCCTGGCATGTTCATTCACAGCTTCTACACTGATATTCCTACCCTCTCTCTCCTCGCTCAGTCAGTCATTCAACAAACACTGAAAACTGGATCCAGCCATTCTTCAACATACATTCTTTAGTGCCTACTGTATGCAGGGTACTATGCCTTAGGAATCAGGGTTAAGGCCTCTTTTCCTCCATCCATCCAATCCATTTTCCAATAAATATTGGAAATACTGAGTGCCTGTTGGGTGCAGAGCACTGTGCTAAGCTGCTCAGCAAAGTGGGAGGCCCAGCCCGAGAGCTGGAGGAGCCCTGGCTTGACATAAAAATATGAAACTTTAACACAGATGGCCATGATATAACACAACAGTACGAGAGATACCACAAGGCCACACATGATCAGTAGTCATCAAGTGGGTCTGTCAGCAGGAGCCCAGAATGCATAGAATGGAGTGGGTCTGGAGGGAAGTGAGATGTGGGCAGGGCTGGGGGCAGCTGGGAGGTGTTCCAGGTAGAGGAGGGATGGTTCACACAAAGACTCAGAATCCACAGAGGCCACCAGGAGCCAGGAGGAGAGCAGAGGCAGGTTAGGGCCAGAATTTGGAGTACTCCAGACACCTCAGAATTTGGACTCTGTGGCCCTTCTCTGATCACTGTTCCTCCCTTCCACTCCCTTTCTCTCCTCTGCTTCCCCTCCTTCATCAGGGCACGCTGTCCACTGGGCCGCCTGTGTGATGTGCCCCATGATTATGCCTGGAGTTGCAGAGCACTTCCCTTGCTCTAGGGACCTTAAACTGGATGCCTCCTGGGCTATGTACATCACTCCCAGGCCAGGCCAGCTTCAGGAAAATCATGCAGGCTGCCCTCGGTCCCTCGCTTGTGATAGGAAGAGGATAGATTTGATTTCTCTGCACTAAAAGCACAAGTCTGGAGTGCTGATTGGCTGCCCCTGTTAGTGGGAAGTGGTGGGGCTTGTGGCAAGTGGCCCAAGGGGCCTTCAGCACCAGGAGAGGACATGCCAGGAAATGGGTGGAAGACTGCTCTGCTCTGCCTGTTTTTTAAAAAGCCAGAAACCTGGATTTTTTATGTCCAATTTCCCCATTTAAAAATATTGATTCAAATGCCATTAAAACCCACTGCCAGCCAAAATGATTGTACTTGCCAGCTCAGTTTGGCCAGAGGGCCACCAGCTTGCGATCTGTATTACCATTTTGCCGCATCCTCAGAAGCAGAGTTGGCAAATTTTTCCTGTGAACAGCTCAATAGTAAATAGTTTAGGTTTTGCGGGCCACATGGTCTCAAGCAGCCATAGGTGATACATCATTGAATAGATGTGGTCACGTACTAATAAATCTTTATTTATGGACACTGAAACATGAATTTCATTTAATTTTCACATCATGAAATATTATTCTCCTTTTGATTTTTTTCTTAGCTTGTGGGACTTACAAAAATAGACGGTGGGTGGGGTTTGGCCCATGGGCTGTAGTTTGCCAGAACCCTGCTCAGGACATGCCCACCTTTTTTTATGCAGGTCCAGGGTTCCTTGCTGGGGGAACTGGCATCTGCCTTCTGGCTGGGCTCCTCTCAGGCTGTTGGGAGACTGCCTTTTCTGTTCTTAACAAGGACAGCTCCGGCTGGGCCAGCCTGACAGGGATTCCGAGATGTTTGGGAGGCCACCCTTTGGGTCCCGCTCACCCACCCCTACCCTCTGCCCGCAGAAGTCCCCTGGAGACTACAGCAACTTTGACCAGGAATTCCTCAATGAGAAGGCGCGTCTCTCCTACAGTGACAAGAACCTCATCGACTCCATGGACCAAACAGCATTCGCTGGCTTCTCCTTTGTGAATCCCAAATTCGAGAGGCTCCTAGAAAAGTGAGGTTCCCAAACACACCCCGCAACCCACCCCAGCCAAGGAACCTGGGTCAGCCAGCATGGCCTCCCCACCCAGCCCAGGCAGAGCAGGTTTGCCCAGCCCCCTGCATCGGCACTGGCCTGCCCCCCACGATAAGCAACTGTGTGACTGTTGTGACTGCTGCTGCCATCCCCACCCCCACCCCCAGGAGGGGCCTTGGCGCCTGTCTGGCTGGGCTCTTAATGGTACTTCCTCTGTGAACTGAGTGTGAATTTGCTTTTCCTCTGCCCTCAGAGGGAAACTGTAAATCCTGTGTTTCATTACTTGAATGTAGTTATCTATTGAAAAAATATATTATATATATGCATATATATATATGTATACACATACACACATATAATAAGCTGTATATATTGCTCAGAGAAAAAACATGGGGACTGGTAATGTGTTGATCTTTTTTAAAAAAGTATGTACGTATATATGTATATAGGTATATACACATATATATGTGTATATATATATACATATATATAATATCAAAAAAAAAGGAGCGCAAGCTATTTGAACCCCTAGGTTCTTTTATTTGTGTGTCTAAATAAACACTGAATGGTACTAACTTGGCTGTTGGGATGTGTTTGTCCCAGAAAGCTGGTGGCTGCTGCTCCCACTTGTGACAGCTGTGTCCTGAAAACTAACTGAGCTGTTAGCTGCAGTCACAGACCCCTGCGCTTTCTCATGCAAATGTGTTTGTATTTATAGGTTTCCTCTGGTTCTAGGGCCCTGGGCCTAAAGCGGGGTTTTCTGGGTTGCTTACAGAGCCCCAGATGTCTGTGTGGGGTGACGGAAGAAGGTGGAACAAGCTGCAGGCTGTTTCAGGAGAGTGAGGGGCCAGTCTGGAAGAGCAGAGAGGTGAAGGCCTGGCTGGAAGGTACGAGCGAAGGCCTAAAGGCTGACCCAGACTGGAAAGGAGGACAAGGAAGAGAAAGTTGATATAGCTCAGGCTTCAGGCAGATCTAGATTCAAATTGCAGAGTGGCCAAAAGACATAGGCATGTCACCTAATTATTTTAAGCCTCAGTTTCCTCATCTGTAAAATGAAGACAAGGCAAGGCGATGCTAGATGTAACTCCACACCTCATTACTATTTATCCCTGACCTTGCCACAGAGAGGTCTGTGTCTGAGTTCTAGAATCTATTTCTCAGGAGCCCTTGCCTACCCGGAGAGGGGGAGGGGAGCAGGGTAGAAGAAAAAGGTGAAAAAATGCCGAGCGGCTGGATCGAG